ATTCATTCTGATCCACATAAAACAAAAATAATTGTTATTACCAATTAAAATACACTCTCCCAAATTTAATCGGTGACAATATAAATAATCAAATTAATCTAAATATTTATATCCATTAGATGAGAAACTATAAATGTGATAATAATGTTAATATTGATACTAAATTTTAAAAATTAATAATTGATAATTAATAATTACCATTATTGTCACTAATAATTGTTACTTTATTGGAATTCACAGGTGGGTAAGGTTTGTAAAATTTAATAATCTGCTAGTATAAATTGCATTTGGATGAATTACTGCAGCAGTTGTTGAAGGATCAAATTTTATTTCATCCATTTTATCAAACTCTTCTTCAATCGATTCATATTTATCACCTGACCTATAGTGTTGAAGTGAATCATTCCAAAAATTAATAGTCTCATAAATCTTTTTAGCAGTTGGACGTTATCTGGATTAGCATCCATGCATTTGAATGCTAGTTCAATATAGAATTTTCGTGTATTGTTTGAGAATCTAGGTCTTGTACCTCTACATGTTTTCATTGCAAGATATTCATCATGTGCCAAATTATTAAATGGTTGTTGACCAGTTGATACTACAGACATCAAAACTCCAAAACTGTATACATCTGATGCCATTGTATATGGTTTCTTTTTTAAAACTTCTGGTGCAATATATGGTAGTACTCCACATATATCATTTTTGTTTGATGATGTTTGACTAGCGGAGCATGATAATCCCAAGTCTGCAATATATGATTCCCATTTGTATTTTTGAAGAATATTACCACTATGAAAATCATGATGAATAATTTCTTTTTTCATGAATATCTTCTAAACCAGAAATAATACAACAAAGAATAAGAATTTTGTCTCTCCATATTAAATTTTTAAAATTTTTTGTTAAATAATTTTGAAGACTTCCATCTACCATATATTCCATTACAAATATATATTTTTTTGGTAACTGAATCTTGTGTTAATCCATAAATATGAATTACAGTATCCTTATCATGAAGCTTCATATAATTTTTGAACTAAAATAATAAATAAAATATTTAATTACAACAACAATAATCAACAATATTTAAAAATCTGAAATAAATAGAAAAATAAATAATTCACCTCATTGAAAAATTCATCAGAAATATTCTGTGAATTATGTAGTTTTTTTAATGCCACAGTCATATCTTTACTAGTTCTTTTATCACTATTATTTATATATTTATTACCATTTAACCAAGTAGCTTTGTATATAGTTGCAAAACCACCTTCACCTATCTTTTCAATATTTGTTAAATCATTATAAAGAATCCATTGAAGATAATATTCATTATCACACTCAGTTGCTTTAAGTTGTGTGTTTTTAATCAACTCATCTAATGTTTATTACCACTAGTCCCAACCTTCAGTTAATAGTTTTGGATCACATGATTGACACCATGAATAATAAGTATTATATCTATTGCATGTTGGACATTCTCCATATTCTTCATCTCTTTCATCAGAATATTCATCATTTTGAAGACTTCCATCTTCCATGTAATGCATTACAGATATATATTATTTTTTAATTGGATCTTGTGTTAATTCATAAATATATACACTTTATCATGAAACTTTGTATAATTTTCAAGCTAAAATAACAAATAAAATATTTAATTATCATCAAAATCTTTATCAATTAGTGGTAGCAAATGACTTTCAAGTATTTTTATGTAGTCAACGCTTTTCATTTTACCCTCAACTTTTACTAATGGACCTAAATCTTTTCCCAAAAAGCAACTCCACATCATTAAACCTCCACCTGCAAATTTTATAGTAGGTGTCATGTTTTCAACATTAAATCTGGTACCAGGAGTTCTCCAAACACGTCCTGGTCCATCATTTTTATATATTGTAAACCTACTTTCGTCACTCCAAATAATAGACTTCCATTTTCTTACTGACCAATTTTTTCTCTTGTGACACCAACTCAAATGATTTGCTCTTTGTACTTCATTTAAAAGAGACTTTGCAGCAGGAACAAAGGAAAAAATATTCATTTCATGCAAAGCTCTTCTAATGGTTTTAGTTGAAACATTAATACTGGTTTTTTCATTAAATTTATTTTTGATTTGTTCAGCAGATTTTCAGTTATTTTGCTTTACAATGTTTTTTAATATTTTTTGACCTTCTTTATTTATTAATTTGGAATGACCAGCTGAATTTTTGGTTGTAAAGTCTTTTTGATCTAGATACTTTTTAATAGTGCGAGAAACTGTTGTTCTATGAAAGCCAAGAATTCTAGATATTTTATGGTTGGGCACATTATTTTTATAAAGACCAATAATTTTGCCATGTTGACTATCATTTAAAGGTAACATTTTGACATAAAAATTTTTCAGTAGATTATAATCAAAAATTTATTAAAAATGATGCCTCGCTCCAAAAAAATTCAAAACAACAAAAATGTTTAATCAAGATGCTTATTATCACATGTCAAAATTTCAGATGAGATTATTATGTGCATTTTTGAGCAATCAATTTTTTTTGAAATGAGCAATATTTTGTCAAAAAAATTTTGGTCAAAATTTTATTTTTTTAACCATCGTTTTAATAAAAATACTAGAGATGTGAAACTTTGCATATATAATTTGGTGAACCTAAGCTACGAAATGGCGATTTTTATTTAATTATTATTATGTACGTTTTTGTACTATTAACTTTTAAACGTGTGCTAGCATTTTGTCCAGGTAGTGTATATATATATATTTATTTATTTATTTATAAATAATAATCCCAAGAATGAGAATATATCATTTCTTCAGCACCCTCAACAATATCTATAATTAATGACTTATACCAACTGACCATTTTTGAATTCTAAAAATAAAATAAAATAAGAAGCCTTCGTGTAGAAATAATTACTAGTAGATAACAATTTATCAAATATTTATTGAACTTTATTATTTTATGAGAATTTTTTGCCAAATAAGTATTTTATATTATGGAATGTGTAACTTTTACTAGGAAATGAGCAGGTGCTTACTAAGAAATGAGCAGGTGTTTACTATGGAAGAAGTTATGTTTATTTTGAAACGTGTTAAGTTTTTTGAAGAAATTTACAAATTTTTATTAAGAAGTTTTGCTTGAAGTACTTTCAAATAGTTAAGAAACACCAACATTAGATATAAATAATTTTGAAGTTGTTTCAACGCGCCTTGCCATAGTTTTACTTTTAAGACAATTACTAATTTGGGAAAACTCGAATTTTTGAAAAATTTGAGCCCTGGATTTACTATTAAATTAACACATGATTCCCCCTACCCTTAAATAAACTAATATGTAATTTGAATAAAATTAATAATTTGAATAAAACTAATAAATAAAATAAAATTAATAAAATGAATGATTTGAATAAAATTGGTAAATCCAATTCAATTAAAATATTTTTTCTTTATCAATCTATTTTTCCTTCTTAGCCCTTGTATATAATGATAATAATAGTAAATAGTAGTAGCTGACATCTTTCTTTTCTTTTCTTAAGTCATAGTACTAGTAACCATAGTAGATTATAAATGTAATTAATTATCTTGTTAAAAGAAATAAGACCTTATTTATAATTTTACATTTTATATTTATAAACTGAATAAAACAATATAAAAACAAACAATTTTGAAATGTAATGTGTAACCAGCTCAGTTTCAAAAATCGGAGTTTGAACTGGAGTTTAACTGGTTCAATAAACCGCAGTTTGAAACGTGTAAACCAAACCGCCAGTTGAACCAGTTGGGTTAAACCATTCCCATCCCTACTTGAGGCACCCCTATAAGCAATATAGTAAAACTAATAAAAGGAAATGTTGGCCAAACCATTAATCATCAGAAAAGGTTATAAATCAAACAATCATGCCAGATTTATTAATTAATGAAAGTGTTATTTTTATTACAAAAGTGTTATTATTGAAAAATCAATTGTTTTTAAATTTTTTTTTCATTGACAGAGATTTCAAGCATATTTATACTTCTTAAAGTATTACAAATAACATGACTTTTTACATGATTTTGTTCAATAAAAAAAAAAAATAAATAAAATAGAATGATAAATGATGACTAATTGACAAATATTAAAGTTAAATGTCAAAAATGAGTCCTAGTTTTTTAATGTACTTGTAATGTCCTTTCCATTGGGGAAACATCAAAGAGAGTTTTCAAATAAGATCAGGAGTTTGACATTGTTCAATTTAACAAACCTTCAATCAATTTACCACATAGTTTGTATTTTTGTTGTGTATATCTGGAGGAAAGAATCATTTAGGACAACCAAATCTGGAGATGGGGAACCTCTTCTGGAAGTTGACTGCAATAGTGATTCAACAAGTAAGTTGAATATGGGCTTTTTATTTGATAATATAGGTACAATTTTTATTATATTTAAATTATAAATTTTTAATTTTTAAATATATTTATATATTCCAAAAAAAAATTAAACTTGCTTCTTTTAGACAATTGATTGGGATTCTTGATGAAAAAAAAGTTAAATACGAAGATTTTGATATACTGCAAGATGAAGAAGTTAGACAAGGTAAAAAAAATAAGTAATTAGATGAATAGCTAATTATTTTCATTTTTATTGACATGTTTTTGCTTTTTTTTTGTATTGTTGTTAATAATATATAGGATTAAAAACATTTGTAAATTGGCCAACTTATCCTATGGTTTTTCATAAAGGAAATCTAATTGGTGGATTGGACATTATTAAAGAGTTGAAAGAAAGTGGTGAATTGGATGAGATTCTTAGTTCTGAAAAATTGTAATTATTATTATTAATAATAACAATATTCTCAACATAATAAGAGTAGTTTTGGCCCACTTCTCGACCATCCAATCGTCTATTCATCCGTACAAAGGCAATTAATTGCATAACAAAATAATATCATTTATTTTTAAACATTCATAATAAATTTAATCTTAACAAATCTATTAAATTTTTGTATCTTGATTGCAAAAAAAATAGTTAATAATTTTCCCATCCAACTTTATCTAATCTTTCGACTTTTGTAAGAACTTCTTTTTCTTGTTTTGCCATAAACGCTTGCATCTTTTCTAAATATTCTGGAATGAATGAACCTAATTGACGTATTGCTAATAATGCTGCATTTGTTGAATTATTAATCGCAACTGTAGCAACTGGAACTCCTCGCTAATTTATTATACAAAAATATATATTATATCAATCAATTAACTTTTTTTTTAAGTTTTACAA